TGGTCTTTTGATCCAGGGATACTCAAGCATCTTTGCCAATGCACCTCAACATGACAGCAGCCCTGGGCTGCCCAGACAGCTCTGCTGGTGCCCCTCATCTTTCCCCCACTGTTCCAGCCCTGGGCTGTACCACTTTCACAGCTCTAGTAATGCCTCTCAGTCCTGACCCACCTCAACCTCCTGCAATTTCTGCTCCAGATTCCCCTCAATCTCAAACCCATCTCTCCCTGACTATTCCAGTCCTGGGCTCCCCTACACAGCTTTACCATAGCACCTCAGTCCTAAAGGGCAACCCTTACTATTGCAGCTCTGGGCCATATTTTTCTTTGCCAAAGTACCTTGGTGTTCGTTTATAGTCCTCTTGCTCTTTTATTCTGTTTGTGTCCTAGATTTCTCTTGAACAGAAAATGCCAGATATACCACTATTTGGGTGAGATAATTTAGCGAGATGGACACACAAAAAAATCTGAACATCATGATATTGTGTATATGCAATGCAATCTGAACCCAAATTTACACAGAAAAAGACTGGTGACACACCTCCAACTGCTCTTTGCTGCTTATGTTAAGGACCCAGATCCTGGAATTAAATGATAATATGAAAATTTCAGCACTTATTTAAAATAAGAATACATTTCTAGTTCCCTGTGGTTACTCAGAAAACCTTAAAAGTGTGACTTGAGCTCTCTCTAGAGATTCAAGAAACAAGAAAGTAAAGAAAAAAGAATCAAATGTGTAATTATTTAAAATCTAATGATCTATCAGATAGTCCCATGACTTTCTGGGGGCCTGTCTCATGATTCCTAAATACATGGGCCTGGTGATACTGAAGTAGTTGGTTAAATTTGGATAGGAATATGTGATGTCCAAAAGAAATTTTAGGGAGCTAGAAATCAAAATGTGGGTTTTGTGGGTACAACCAGTATGGTAGAGAGCCTTTGAAACTACACAGAAACCCTGTGGTTTGGTAGGAATCATTGTGGGGACTGGACTCTGGATGGAAAGAGGAACACAAAGGCAGAAGTTTAAAAATGCATACTTGAAAAAAGGGCTTATCATTGGTTCATAGGTACATAGGCCTGGGAGGAACTGCATGTAACATCGGGTTCCCCCGGCTCCTGGCTTTCTAAGGCAACCATATTGGAAAATCTGTTCACAGAAACTGCTGCTACCCTCAAAAAAGCCAGAAAGGAGAAGAACAGTGGAAAGTGACTCTTGGCTCCAAATCTCTGTGTTGTGCTTCAACTAAGGCTACTGGGTGCTAACTGGGAGGGAGTATGCACTTTGCATCAGAGAAGTGGTTCATATTTTACATTTAGGTATTTCTGTGTCTGTGAAGAAAAAGGAAATCCATAAGAACTACCTGCATTGCAGAAGGCACCCACAATAGTTGGGTCTGGTTCCTTTTGTGAGCTCCCCCTGTGAGCATTAATTAATTAATAGGCATCTGTCTGTCTTGCAAGACAACAGATTTCTGCCAAAGGCATTAGCTCATTCAGTATCTGCAAATGTGGCTGTAGAGCCCAATTCTTCCCTTGCGCACCTACCAAAGGTGAAATTCATATCTAATAGTCCTGAATGCAGTGCAGGGTTCTTCCTGAGGTTTCATCTTTCTTCTGAATGTTGGATCCTTCTTTCCACACTTAGGAGACTGTTTCCAAGTGCTTCAGTCCTCAGCAGTCTTCTTCCAGTCATTTGACTTAATGTTCATTGCCTTCTTCTTCTGTGACAGTTGAAGAAACAATGCTACTAATACATCCCACTGAGGTTGTGTCTTTCATCCAACTACCATGAAGACATTAATAAGACTCACAACACCCCTATGAGCTAGGTAATTTTTTTACTATTCTAGTATAATTTATAATTACTTACACAAATAAACACTATACTTTGATACTATGGTGATAGGGGCTATAGAAAATATTTATGTAGGGGAGTGTCTACACTGCAACTGAAGGTGTGACTGCAGCTCAAGTAGCCATACTCAAACTAGTTTTAATGTAGCCAACTCAAATACCAATAATGGCATAGCTGTGGTAGCAGAAAGCTCAGTGCACGCTGCAAAACAGGTCCAGAAACCTGTGTAAATACTTGGGCAGCTAACCTGCACAGAGCTTTGTGCTTCAAGGTTACATGGCTATCAGGGCTACATGGCTGTAGTCACACCATTGTCTGCAGCAGAGGCAAAGCCATAGAGTAATGGCCTGGCCATTAGAGGCCTAGATTGAGTTCCAGCTCTGAAATTTAACTTGTATATGTTACTGGGCAAGTCACCCTGTCTCTGTTTGCTCCCCTAAACTTTGGTCTTGCCTATTTTGATTGTAAGCCCTTTAAGGAAACAGCTGTCACTTGCTAAATGCAGGTACTAGCATATGTCAGTATAACACCAAGAACAATGGGGATTTATCAGAGTTGAGGGCTGTAATGCAGACATAATAAGAGCCTTCTTTATGAAGTACTCTGTACTCTACAAATGAAAAGAGCAAAGCATCATCATTATGCTAACTTCATATATTTCATTCTTTTCTTCCAACAGATGGCCCATTGTTAACACATCAGCAGCTTCCTTCTGTCCTGTCTTTAACTAGATTTGGTTACAAGTAACTGAAAATGTTCAAAACACTGGCCAAGCAGATCATACAGGAACTGGACTCTGATGGGAGGTTCACTGCTGTTTCTAGCTTGGCTAGTGCCAATAATTACAAACCCTTCTGTGTGGTCAGGAAAGAACAGTTCAGGCTACCTTGGCAACCCAGAAAATACCTCACCACTCCTTACAAGCTTCAAGATGTGGCTGAGAAAGAAACAAATATGGGGGCAGGTTAGCTTGAATGTAGTTTTAATGGGCTGTTGCATGGTCACCAGTTATTATGGACAAGGGGCCAAATGACTACCATGCCTCTGTATAGCAGTGTCTTTTTCCAGATCTCTAAGTGACTCAGAGACATGCACAAGGTCCCAAGGGATGTCACTGGCAGAACTAGAGTCAGATTTCAGGAGACCCTGACTCCCAGTACTATGGTTTGACCACTGGGTCTCACAGAGGTGTCTTAAATCTTACTCTGGGTTTGAAATCTGTTTAGAGTGCATGCTGTGTAAACTGTCTTGGGTGGGAATGCTTGCCTGTCATGATCTTGAGCACTGTAGGGGCTATTGGCAAGAGAATGTAATACATATTATATAAGTAAGTACAAATAGGTTTCATTGTGGCAAACTAAACCTGATGCACTTTATTTCCCACAAGAGGTGAAATATGATGATCCATTCGTATATGATGCGACCACCAAGCACAAAGCAGAAGCAAACCTTAGCTTTGACTCAGAGACCACAGAAGTGGACATCAGTGGCTCAGGCTACAGTTCGTACTCAGTCTCTCAGACATCAGTGAGGAAAGCCTACATGGTTAAGAGAGAGCCGTGGTGGGTTCTGGTTTTTATTTTACTTCTTCTGGGAGCAGCATCCCTTTACAGCTTCGAGATCCTTTCCCCCAGCCTCAGACTTGCCATTTTGTTCCATTCCCAAATCATGGGGGTCCTGCATTACAGATAGCTTTCCAGAAGAAGGATGTTATATGGATTATCCTTTGGGGAATCTTTCTAGGAATCTCTCTTGGCAGGTCAGCATTGGAACTGGCCAGCTAAACAAATTCCTTGGTTAACCAGAGGTCTCTGTGCAGTGGCTGATGCCAGTTCAATTCCAGCAAGGATGCATTTGAAGTGATTTCCAATGCTGCTGCCATAGAAAGTCAGCTCCCAGACTACTGCACTGGGCAGCACAGTTTGGGGAAGAGGTAAGCTAAGCAGCCCTCAGTGATGAAAGAACATGTTAGGGACTATTTAGAAAAGCTGGACAAGTACAAGTCTATGGGGCCAGATAGGATGCACCTGAGGGTGCTGATGGAGGTGACTGATGTGATTGCAGTGCCATTGGCCATCATCTTTGAAAACTCATGGCAATCAGGAGAGGTCCCAGATGACTGAAAAAGGGAAAACAGAGTGCCCATATTTAAGAAAGGGAAACAGGAGGATCCAGGAAACTACAGACCAGTCAGCCTCACCTCAGTCCCTGAAAAATTATAGGACAGATTCTCAAGGAATCCATTTCTAAGCACTTGAAGAAGAAGAAAATGATTAGGAACAGCCAGCCTGGATTCACCAAGGGCAAGTCATGCCTGACCACTTTGCCTTCCATGATGAGATGATACCAAGCTGGAGTAGATTTGCCAGAGGGTAGGGCTAGGCTTTAGAGAGATGTAGTCAAATTGGAGGATTAGGGCAAAAGGAATCTCATGAGGTTCAACAAGGACGAGTGCAATGTCCTACACTTAGGACAGAACAATCCCATGCACCAGTACAGGCTGGAGGCTGATTAACTGGGCAGCAGCTCTGCAGAAAAGGACCTGGGGGCTACAGTGGACAATAAGCTGAATAGAAGTCAGCAGTGTGCCTTTGTTGCTAAGAAAGCTAATGGCGTACTGGGCTGCATTGGTAGGTGTGTTGCCAGTAGGTCAAGGGAAGTGATTATTCCCCTCTATTCAGCACTGGTGAGGTCACATCTGCTTACTGAGTTCAGTTTTGGGCCCCCCACTACAGAAAGGATGTAGACGAATTGGAGACAGTCCAGCGGAGGGCAACAAAAATGGTGAGAGGACTAGGGAACATGACTTATGAGGAAAGACTGAGGGAACTGGGCTTATTTAGTCAAGAGAAGAGGAGACTGAGAGGGAACTTAATAGCAGCCTTCGACTACCTGAAGGGGGGTTTGAAAGAGGATGAAGCTAGACTGTTCTCAGTAGTGGCAGATAACAGAACAAAGAGCAATGGTCTCAAGTTGCAGCAAGGGAAGTTTAGGTTAGATATTAATAAGAATTTTCTCACTAGGAGGGCAGTATAGCACTGGAACAGGTCACCCAGAGAGACTCTGGAAGCTCCATCCTTGGAGGTTTTCAGAACCCAGTTGGACAAAGCTTTGACTGGGATGATCTAGTTGGGGCTAGTCCTGTTTTGAGCAGGTTGGACTAGATGATTTCCTGAAGTCCCTTCCAACCCTAACTTTCTATGAGTCTATGATTCTATGAAGTTTAGCTGGGTGGGCACTAAAATTCTGGAGACCTGGACTGAGTTTCTGTTCTACTACAGGGATCTTTTATGCCTTACGTATGACACCACCCAATGTCTACACTGCAACCCGAAGGTGCTATGGCAGCTTATGGAAACATACACACCAGCCATAAACTAGCTAGCTCAGGTTCTGAAAGCAGTTTAGCTTCAGGTTCAGAAACAGAGCTGTATTTGGGCTACATACTTGGGCATTTATTTATGATCCTCAGTGGGTGCTACACACAAGATGCTTAGTGTGGAGTTGCCTAATTAGCTCCACAGTAAAGTGTCTCTATCTACACATGCAGAGCTATTTGGCCAGAGTAAACTAATTAACACGACTGTAGGTTAGTACTGCTTGATACAAGTACTATCCTATGGTGGAGTTATTTATTCCACCGCAGTGCACATGTAGACATTGACTGGGGCTGGTTGGGGCATGAGGATGCTTCAGCCAGCCCTTCTGCAGCATGGTGAGCAGGGTCAGAGCAGCCCTGGGTTGGCAGGCTGACCCCTGGGACCTCCTGCCAGCCAGGGCTGCACCACCCCAGCTCAACGTGCTGTAGTGCCAGGCGCACATGTAAATGCTGCACCTTGGAGTGATAAACTCCAGCATGAACTGCACCAAAGTTTATTCAGCGTGTCCATTTCACATGTAGATTCATCCAGTGGGTGTTTCTCTGAGCCCCAAGTAGAGCAATTTACACTGCTGTTGGTACCTGAGCTAGCGAGTTGAAAGCTAGCTCAAGTATGTCTACACATATAATCCCACTTTTGCATTGCAGCATAGATGTCTCCTTAAGCTCTCTGTTCCCCAGTTCCCCATCTACAGAATGGGATAACAGCACTTCCCTATTCACAAGGGGACTGTGAAGATAATTACATTAATTACTGTTAGACACTCAGACATTATGGTGATGAGGCACATGTGAGCACCCAAACTAGTAAGAACATTAGCCAAAAAACAGTGTAATGATTTCCCTCGCTAAACTGCAAAACATGTGCATAAGGGAGGTTTCTTCCTAAAGATAAGCAGCTGATATTTGGCTTATATCCTGAAGCATAAGTTCTGGGATCCTTTGTAGTAACTGCAGATGATAGTCATTCTATTTCTATGTGTCCTCAACAGGAAAATTGACATGACTCACCTGTTCATACAGCAGTTCTCAGACTCGCAGAGGACAGAGCTGTATGTTGTGACTGAGGCTTTTGAACTAATGGAGCCGCTGGTCATAAAGAAGACAATCCAGGGAGGAGGGAATGTCCAGATAAGTGCAGTGGAGATGTTTGGAATCCAGGTTTGTGGCAATGGGCAAATTGAAAGATGCAGCCAGCCTTGCAACTGCTTAAGTTGAATGAGACGCTTGAATTATCTGTCTGACACTTTACCCTAGCATAAATTCAGAAAAGCTTCTTAAGTCAGAGAGAGAGAAAGGAAAGACATGGTTTATATGGAATTTTGTTCTATTAAATGTTATGTTTGTTAAAATGAAGCAGCTATCAAGAAGCCATGCCACACAGATTGCTCCTTTCTCTAAAGAAATTTGCTCAAAAGCAGCTTTGTTTAAAATCCATAAATAAGCAGAAGTCTATTTCTGATGAAGGAGCTAAGTAATCCCCCAGACTCCACTGAGAACCAGTGCTTGTCAAAGAGCCACCTGATGATTTATTGATCTGCCTCAGGAGTCTCACCAGAGCCTTGTGACCTGTGTTTGAATCTCCAGGGGCGGGGCAGAAGCATTACAAAGAAAGCGGTGATGATTCCTAAGGGCACAGTGATGGCATACGTGGTAGAGCCGCTGATTACCCACAAGAGAGATTTCTGTATGTGAACTAAGCTAAGTGTGCATCATGTGGTAATATGTCCAGCTTTAGAGCTGTTATGTTCGTAGATTCAAAGATTGTAAGGGGCTGGAAGGGACATCGCAAGATCGTCCAGTCCAGCCCCCCTGCACTAGGCAGGAAAGACAAATGGGGCCAGGTGACCCCAGCAAGGTGACCATCCTGTCTTCTCTTGAAGATATCTAGGGTAGGTGATTGCACCACCCCTGGAGGGAGCCTATTCCAGTCTGGACACCTTGACTGTGAAAATGTTTTTCCTAGTGTTAAGCTTGAAACGGTCTTCCAGGAGTTTGTGGCCATATTCCTTTTGCTTTTTGTGGCCCAACTCAGTGTCCATTTTTACTGTCCTCATAATAATATTAGATGGAAAGTGGTGGTTTTATCTTGTGGTTAGAGCTGTGGAATGGATGTACCATCTCAAATGCAGGTGTGACACTCAGAAGTGCTGAGAATAGATTAATGTTAGCATCCTGGCTTGAATTACCTGCCATGGGGTCAGGATTACAAAAAGTTTATATCACTGCCACATGTTGGGGTCAAGTAACTGCTGACATTGGGTGCTTTGGATGCAAAGATTCCCAGGTTCCCCTCTCACCTGTGCCACTGAGTTGCTGTGACCAGAGGCAAGTTACCGTTTCCTGCTCTGTGAAAAAGGAGAAAATAATTAAGAAGTCAGTGGGGGCCTAATTAATGGGTGGAGAGTAGTGTAAGATCCTAACTTCAGATCAAAGCATCATTAATAATAATTTCTGTTTCCTGCTCCAGGTTGCCACAAGGACAAAAACCCAAAGGCTAGGAGTTTATTCATGCATGACGGTAAACTATTTATTTTATTTTATTAATCTAGACTTCTCAGGTCTCTTACTTTGTATCATTTATATTCTTTTCTCCCATTCTGCATCTCTCATCTAGCTTATTCACAGCAGCCACATCTTAGGTCTGGCTCATAGATGACTGAAGTCAAAATGAGTCAACATGAGTATGTGTTCAGCCAGATTCACAGAGACTTATTCAAGCTGCTTCGCTGCCTATGAGATACTTCAAAAATGTAACTAGGACAGGATGAAAAGGCCACTGTTTGAAGTGTGAGCATGGAGGGAATGTGACTGTCACAAAGAACTTTACAAACAAGCTGTTATAGGTAAAGAAGGGCAGCTGGGTTTGGGTTCTTAAAAGGTGCTCTCAGGACACAACAGTAGTGGGTTGAGGTAGAAAAATGGCTAGTAGGTCTGCTATGAATTAAGACCCAATTAGGATAAAGCAATTGAGCTGGATTATTAGTAGGGAGAGAGTCTGAGTCCAGTGGTCAGCAAAATGCAAAGCGGGTCAGGAACCCCTGGATCCTGTTCCTGGCACTGACACTGAGTTGGTGCGTGTAGCTTTGGGTTGCTTGACCTTCCTGGATTTGCACCATTCTAGCTTCTGGGAGCTTGAGATGCTCAGTTCATGGTTGCTCACAATGCTATTGGCAGTCTGGAGAAAAAGGTACCAGAGAAGGATTTAATCTTGTTATGTTTCTGTTTCCACTTAATTGAGAGCAATGATAAGAAAAAGGTATTTTTCTCATTTCAGGTGTCAAGAATGAGCTGGTGTCTTCACTAACAGGCAAGCTGCATCTGCTTAATTCCTTCCATCATATTTTGCTTCCATTTCTCTGATCTCTATGGGCTTAAAAAAGGCCCAGCAGGAA